AGAGGGAAGAGGGTGGGAGGGGGAGAAAGAGAAGAAGGGGGGGGAGAGAAGGAGGGGGAGAGAGAGAGAGAACATGCAAGAACATGTGGCCAAATAGTCACAACTGGTAGATCTTGGCAAGAAGTATCTGCATGTTTGCTGTGACAACTTTCTGGTAGGTTTGAAATTTCTCAAAATAAAGTCGGGGACAGAGGAGAAAACATGCATGTGAACCGAGGGAAGGGTGTATCTTAGTTTGTATCCAAGGGAAGAAAAAAGAAAAGATCGGAATGCAGAACAGAGCTGAGCTGAATTATGGGCTTGAAGCCAAGACACTGGAGCCAAGTTGTGGAACTCCAAGGTTTACTGCTGGAGCCTGGGCTCAGGAAACAAGAGCAGGACAAGCCCAGCCTGGCAGCAGCAGAGGCTGTGCCTTCCCCGCGTGAGGCATGGAGCAGCCGGCCCTGTGACCTGGCGAGGGGCGTGGAGCAACCGGCCCTGTGACCCCGGCGAGGGGTGTGGAACCGCAGGCCCACAAGTGCCACGTGAGGCCTCCTGCTTGGAAGACAGGTGACACCTCCAGTCCCAGGGGATGTGTCAGGTGACCGCTCCAATGTCTAGGAAGCGGCATGAGTCACAGCATTCCAGGGCACTCCTGACCTGGTCTTCCCTTGGGATTTGGGGGAAAAGACTTCAAAGCTAGGTGACCTAAGAAACGCACTCTGGCTTCTCTGTGGGATCTCAACTGAGGCTGGGTTACTCACCCTGGGTGTGGAAAGCACATTTGCAAAGCTTCATTTTCTTAAAAAGCTTCATTTTCCTAAAAAAGGAGACCTGGACTGGTGGCTTGTTATGCGAAGCTGCCTCAGCTGTGCTGGTAACTCTAGCACACCTAATAAATTCCAGAGGGATGACGAGGGTGTTTGCGAAGTCCACCTGGAGCCCCTGTCCCAATCCAGAACACAGAGATCACTGGACTTGGCCGTGTTCATTAAGGGAAGATGGGGCCTCAGGAAATCCTGTCCCGAGTTTTACAAACAGGGAGGCTAACTCACTTGAAATGAGGCTGGTGCTAGGTAGGAAGGTGACAGTTAAGATTCTGAGACTTCTCTCGCCTGCTCCAGGAAAACTCCAGAAGCCCAGTGAAATGGCCTTATCTTCTCTGACATCTGCCCGACCCTGGAAGAGTCGGGGTGGGTAGGAAGCCAGTCTCAGCCATCAGGCTGCTTACCTTGATCCTTTCCAAGGAGGCTTCCAGTCTCAGCTGCTGCACCGTTCTCCGGGCCTGGGCTATGTTGTTGGTGCTTGCTGTTTTGCTAGACATCTTCAACGACTGCTTTCACCTGAAATCCAAGGAGAATTCTTTTCAAAGGCAAGTTGACAGGCATCTGCAAGTATTCTAACATTCACAGTCATCTGTGCCACTTCAAGGGAAATGCACGCATCTTCCCAGTTATCACAGCCTCCTGAAGGCAGTTACTGAAGTGCCCCTGAGCAAGCCGAGCGGTGGCCTCGGTGTCTAAGCTTGCCACCAGTTTGAGCACCTGCATAAGCCTTAGGTTTGCAGAAACCCAGCATTGGAAGCTGAGTCAACGCACCTCCACATACAGCATAAAAAACAGGATAGCAGTTGGTAGGGGACCCCAGCAAAAGTGAGCATTTGTCACCAGAGACCTGTTATATGGCAGCTTAATGCTACGTCCTACTTTAATAGAAGGTTTGATTTTTACTTCTTTGTTTAGAGACAGTGTCTAGCTCTGTTGCCCAGGCTGGAGAGCAGTGGTACTGGCCATAGCTCGCCAAGCTTCACTCTCCTGGGTTCAGGAGATCCTCTGGTCTCAGCCTCCCAGGTAGTTAGGACTACAGGTATGTGCCACCACATCCAGTTAAGTGTTTATTTTTTTATTATTATAAAGATGTGAGGTACAATTCAGGGTTAGGTATACAAATACTGATTATGCAGGTACCTTGTTGATGAGGTGTGCCCCTCCCTCCCCTGGCAGTTTCCCTCAACTGACAATCCCCCCCACCCCGACAGTTTTCCACTACTGCCAATCTCTTTCTTATAGTATTATAATTGTTCAAGGCCCGCTTATGAGTGAGAACATAGGGTACTCTGTTCTTTGTTTCTGTGATAGATCACCGAGTGTGAGCAACTCCAAATCCATCCAAGTTGTTGGGAAGTCCATGTATTTGTCTTTTTTTATGGCTGCATAATATTCCATTGTGTATATGTACCACATTTTTAAAATCCACTCCAGCTTCGATGGGCAGCATGGTTGGTTCCATGTTTTTGCTATTGTGAATAGAGCTGCAACAAACATACATGTGCAGGTATCTTTTTTGTAGAATGATTTGAGTTCCTCTGGGTATATTCCCAGTAGTCATATGGAAGGTCAATTTCTAGTTCTTTCAGAAATCGCCACACTGTCTTCTAGAGAGGTTGCACTAGTTTGCATTTCCACCAGCAGTGTAGATGCGTTCCTTTTTCTCATCCTTGCCAGCATTTGCTGTTTGTTTTATTAACGATGGCTATTCTTACTGGGGTTAGGTGGTATCTCAGTGTGGTTTTTTGATTTGCATTTCTCTGATGATGAGTGAGGCTGAGCACTTTTTCATGTGTCTGTTGGCTGCCTGTGTTTATTTTTTTGTAGAGACAGGATCTCATTATGTTGCCCAGGCTGGTCTCAAGCTGGCCTCAAGCGATCCTCCTACTTCAGCCTCGCAAAGTTGCTGGGATTACCGGTGTGAGCCACAGTGCCCGGCTTGACTTCACTTCCTTTGAGCTTTCTTTTTCAACTATTAGGCTGACGGAAGTCCTGGCAACAGAAAACAGGGAGAGAGCACTCCCCTAGAGAACTCTGCACAAAGAGAGCATTTTCTTCAGGTGCTGTTGAGATGTACAATCGTTCTGAGAACATTAGGCAGATAAGGAAGTCTTTATTCATGCAAGAGTGGAACCTTTGGACTGACTCTGGATGAAGGAGAGGGCGAGGGTAAGTGTCAACTGGGATTCACAATAGGTCAAGTCTGAAATAACTAATAAGACTTTACTCTCCTGCCCCCGGCCTCTTGGCCTCCTCCCGGTGCAAGGCACTTGCTGATCCTGCCACCTGCCACATGTTCACGGGCTGACCCCTCTCCCGCGTGGGCCCTTGGACTCTGGGCCACCCTATCGCCCTCTCTCCCCGGATTCTGGTGCAAAGCAATGGGAACAGCCTGGCCTTCGAACTTTAGCCTGTCTGGCTGTCCTGCGGCATAGTTCAGGAGCACGGTGGGCGTGGGGAGAGGTGAGGCCTGGGCCCGACACCCACGACTAAGCTCACTTCCAGCAAGGCAGTGGCTGGGGGAAGGTGCAGGGTCGGCAGGCCCGGTGTTGTGGCAATGCATGACTCATGGGAACAGGTGGCGGCAGGAGTGTGCCGCCCTGGCGCTGTGCAGGAGCTCAGCACAGGCTCCGGGCACTGTGGCGCCAGCAGCAAACTCAGGCTGACTCAGCTTTCTGGACAGTCACAGCTGCACACAGCGATTCTGCCGTAAAAGGCGGAGGCGAGACAGGCTGCAGAGAATACCAGTGGCCCACAGGCTCCAGGGGCTATATGCATGCACCACGGCGCTCCACTCTGGGTTCCCCAGACTTAGGGTGTTCCCAAGATTCAGGGACTGGAGCACGGATTGGAGCCTCTGAGGTCAGAGGAAGCTTTGGGTCAGATGCACACATAACACCAGGCTTTTCAACGGTATGCAGAATTTTGAAATCAGCCTGCTCAGCAAGCTTCCTGGTCCTGGGTTTGGACTCTGCCTGTGCCGCTCACTAGCTGAGCAAAACCAGGCAGGCTACGCCCCCCATGAACTCAAGTGCTCTCACTTGTATTTAAGGATGTTATACTATCTCAAAGGGCTCTGGGGTATCTCGCATGAGACCATGGCACTCTGGAACAGCGCTACTGTTCCTAGCCTCAGGAATCACGTGCAGCGCGATGCACTCAGCTCCCCGCACACCTGTCTGTCCTGCACCTCTGCCCCACCCGGTCAACAGGCCTCAGGGGTTCCAACTGACTGGGCTGGGTGGGGCTGTGGGCATGGGTCCTTTCAGAGAGTCCCCAGGCGACAGCCACGGAGGATTCCCTGGGAGGAAGGAAGCCCTCCCGGTACAGAAGGCTGGAGACAGGGCATGTGGCATTGCAGGGCAGCCTTGCCATGTCCCAGGCCCTGGGTGACCTTGTCTCAAGACTCCTGGACCAGCCACCGCCTCCTCACAGTCCCTGGTTGTGGGCCCCACCCATCGCCTGGGTATCTTTTGACTTTGCTCGCACCCAGCGGCCTGGTCTGGCCCCTTCTGTGCTCCCAGCCAGCTCGCATTCACAGGGGTTAGCAGAGTGCAGGAAATGCAATGGAGGCAGTGGCAGCCTCACCCGGCATAGGGCATGGTGCCCAGGTTCACAGCGAGCTGCTCACAGACTTTGTTTCCTGCAGCACATCTGACAGAGCTCCCCCAGGCGGGCGCAGATTCTGAACCCCGGCCTCCAGAAAATGAACAGGACACCCTTTCCAGGCTGCACCCCAGAACTTTCCATATGGTGCCTTTGCCTGAGAATGAGGCCAAGCCTTCTCTTCTTCCCAACCTGCAGGGCATGAAGTTCTGAGGCCTGCGCGCGTTTTCCTGCAACTGCAGACAGCGCACACATATCACGACTGGACCCGTCACTGCCTGCGTCAGGTCAGCAAACAGCCCACGGTCGGGCTCTGTTTCTCAGATGTTGGGCAGGTCCCTCCGACACTGTGGGGGGACTCAGCATGTGGCACATGGGGGGCTTTCTCACTTCCTGACTGTAGCACAGGCTCAAAACGGGCCAGCAGCTCGCCATTCACGTTGGCCACCTCGGGCTTCCAGCGGCTTCCTTCCAGCGGCCTTCTGTGTTGTGACCGTGCCTTCACGGGGCCTTCCTTGGCTCTTGGATGGCCCCGCCCCTCCCACGGGGGACCTTGCAGGGCCCAGGCTCTACAGAGCCATGCAGCACGTTTTACACGGAGCGTGACGGGTACTAGGCATGGTGTGCTGACAACGAACGGGCAGGCCGAGCAGTTCCTGTTCTAGAGGGGCAACGTTCACCAGGGCATCAGACGCTGGCCTTCTCTGCCCGGGAGAGCCCAGCCCCTCCTTTATCCCTCCACCCCCCACCCCCTTCGGGCTCCAAACTCAAATACATCTTCTCTTCTAAAGTCCCTGCCCCTCTGCTGGGACAAACATGGATAACTCCACCCAGAACACGAGTTGAGGAGTAATTTTTACAGCTTCACAGATTTATTAAACAAGCAACTTTTGACTGAATATTGTATAGCACTAGCTTTGGGAAGTTGATTCGATGCAGTATTTGTGGTTGTAGGGGAATTAAAAATGGCTTCTGCCTCCCCCCCCAGGTCCTTTGGCTGGGCTATGAATTAACTTGATACCTAAACAGACGAACAGGAGAAAAACCACATTTTACTATGTACGCATATGGGCTCAGGAAAATTCCTCCAGATAGGCGTCTAAGAAGCATCAGAGGATTGATGCTTGTACAACACTCTGAGCGACAGAGGAGAGTTGGGGATCCTGGGAGGTGGTGGCCACGTGAGTTGTGGGAGAGAGAGGGAGGAAATGTGTGGGAAGAAAGACGGTCGTGTTGCAGAAGTTGTCTCGGAGAGCCCGTAAAAGAAGAGGCGATAGTCTTTCTGGGCGTGGTGCCTCTCTCGTCTTCCCTCCTGCGACCCCAGTAAGCCCTCCTGGTTGATAAGGCTTCCAGAGGGGGTTCAGGATGGCCGAGTTCCCTCAGGAAGACAGGCCTTCAGGTAGATGAGGGAACATGGAGGACGTGCCGGCCTGTGTCTGTTTTCCCAGTTCAAGGTCGTCAGCCTGCCAAGGCGTCCTTTGTGGGGTGGCGTTTCCCGAACTCCTTCATGGTTGTTCCTAGAAGTTGTACACTGGGCCATGGGAAAGAATAGAATCTCTGATAGCAACCTTCTTCCTACGGAGAAACCAGATCGACATTCTGTTGTTTCAAGTCAACGAACTCCGATGTGCTGAGTGGCTGCATGTCTGCATAAGGGGGGCACCGCTGTTCGTCCACAGGACCGAGATCTGGTGAGAGCATCCCTCCCCTCTGCAGGTTTTCTCACGCCTCAACAGCTGGGCGTGCAAGATGGATGAACAGGCCGGAGAAGCGACCTCCAGGCACCTCTGACCTTGGCTTTCTGTGGTCTCCCTCATGGCAGGCCGTCTGGCTGTGCCACTAGCTGGACAAAAGCTCGCTTTACTCTTTCACTGGGAGCAGCTTCAAGGTAGACAACCCCTGCTACTTGTACGGCGCC